ATCTTCTGACAAGCCAAACAGCCCTCTGTTGATGGGAGTTCCTCTGCTCTTCCTTCTTATTCATCAGGCAAACTGAAACCAGCCTAATCTTTCTAAGATACCCATTCATCTTGTCAGAAAACATGCAGTTATTCTTTACTGCTGCAGGATACATCCGTTGACACACCTGAAATCTTGCCATTATCCAGCTTTCTGTGCCCTTTAGCTTTCATGTACTAGGAGGCTGCAGGTGGGTGAGCAGTCCCTCCCTTCCCACCCTGGCAGCTCTTATCCCACCCATTCTCTGCCCAGTCTCTGCTCACTTCCACCTCACCTCTAACCTCTTTTATCTTTCATACCATTTTTTGTTGTCTTCCAAGCCATCCTGGCCAGCTCTCCTGGGTATTTGTTGCATGGCTGTCTTCACATGTTTGTTTTTCAGTGATCCTTTCTGTCTCTCCAAGTCCAGTGGAATCTTCAACTCCTTGAGGGCAGGGCCAACAAGGTCTGCTTCTTTATCTGATGCTACACCCAACCTAATGGAGGGCTGTGGGTGGAGGTTGCCGTCCGCCTTGAGGGGAGGTGCCTCTCCTCAGAAGGCTGCACCTGGAAGCCGCACCTGGAGGCCCCGGGAAGAGAGTAAAGTCTTCTTGATCTGCAGATGTTCGTGCCTGGGAATGAAGGAATTGCTGTACTTTAGAAGAAGCGCCCTCGCTCCCCCACCCCTTGCAAACTGTAAAATGAGAAGTCCAGGGAAGACCCAGAGTGACGTAGGGGCCCGGGGGACATGGCCAGGAAGAAGCTTTCAAAGCCTGAACTCCTCGAGCCATGCTTTTTAAGGCACCCTCTATCCACCTGTACTGTGGAGGCGGGAACGCCCCCCACCCCCCCACCTAGTTCTGAAGCCTCCCCGTTTCTGTGCGGGTGCCCTCCGTCACGCTCCGTCTGTATTCTCTGAGATTTCCTACAACTTCCTGGGCCTTGCCTCTTATCTGTAAGCTTTTTTTTTTTTGGTTGTGCTTCTGAGAAACTCACTTTTAACAACTTTCTCCCGGCTCTCCGAGACCGTCGGAAAACTCCGCTCTTCCTTCGCCCGGACTCGCGGCTCCCTCAGGGCTCGCAGCAGAGAGCCGCCCCTTCCCTCCCTGCGACCCTCCTCTCCCCCGCGGCTCCCCGCAGGCTCCCGGCCTCGGCCCCCGGCTCCGCGCTAATCTCTTCCAGAGTTGGGGGAGAGGGGGCAGGGCAGGCCCTTCCCGGGAGGCGGGAGCGCTTCCTTCTGCCGGGCCTGGGCGGGCCCTGGGAACGGGCGGAGGCCGGCCGCGCCCCCGGCCCCCGCGCCCCTCGGACCGGAGGAGAGGGGCTGGCCCACCGCCAGCGTCGGAGCGCCGGCCCCCTCCCCCGGCCCGCCCGCAGCCAACCAGGCACTCCAGCGGGGCCCACGTGACCTGGAGTTCTAGACAAAGAAAATGTTCCCTCCCTCCCCCCCATCGCCCCC